ACCGATACCAATATTGAGGCCATTTTTTGACTTCGATTTCGCAGGAGCTTCTCTTGAGCTGAAAGCGTGTCCTCCAGTTCCCGGAGATGCTTTTTCAACTCCCGAACAGCTTCTTCCTGTGTATCATCCATCTATACAGAGATTGTTTTCAACTTACGACCTGATCGTTCAAACAAGAAGGAAAAGCAAATTCGAGGTTGTGACGTTGGCCGCGTTAAGGAAGGAAAAGAGGAGAAATCACGGCATCAGTGACAAATTCCTTCAGGAACAAAACATTTAAGCAACAAAGAAATATGTCAAAAACCAGCGAAAAAACCTCATGATTTTGGCCGAAGGGCCAATGCATAATGGAAACCCATCAGACATCTGTGTTCCTCAATCAGCAAGTAACGAGCATCATCCCTGATCCATTTGTTATATTTGTGCGTCAGGTGCATGGAGCTTCTCGTCAAAGAGTTGAACCAGCGCACACAAGACAGTACTTTTGGCCAAGAAGGACTCCCAAAATCCATTAGTAGCACATAGCCGTCTTTTACGACATAAGTCAAAGCGGCATTGAGAAACTGACGCGCATCATCTTCACTTCTGTTCAAGAGCTCATTCCGGATCACAACGGTGTCGTACTTTTGGAAATCAGGCATTTTTGTCTCTCCCTTTTCAATGATGTCAAAAACGACTGTGCTTCCAACCCAGTTGTGATCGTTCTTGACCATAAAATCCAAAGTCATGGCTTTCCGTCGTTCCGCCTGCACTGCTTCGGGGAGGGACCCATCAATTTTGTATCGCCCATCATCAATAACTTTTTGATCCACGATAAACTCTACACGAATTGCTTTAGACATCTCATAAAGTCGGACATCGCTGGCATCCGCTATTTTTGGCGTCAGATCTAGCACTCGACCACGACAATATGTCTGGTACATTCGCCTCAAGGAGCGGTAAATCAGCCACTGCGGAATCAGGCTAGCTCCCCACACCAAGGCAGCCCCACCAAGACACGTTGCCAAAAAAATGTTTCGCCCATGCGCTATTTTTGCGTACTTCTCCCTCGGAATTAAGACTGGTTTGTAATCCCATTCCCCCGCACTGTTTGCATCTGGAATCCTTTTTTGCATTCCAGTCAAAACCTCCAAGGGTGAAGTGATTCGTAAAAAGAATCCAAGACCAAAAACAAAACAAAAAAGGCAAAGAAAAAAAACTAGAAGACATTTTTACAAAGAGCAAAAGTAAAATGGAAAAATACAGAGTTATCGCGTATAGACAGCCAGACGAACGTCATGACCATCAACTCGTCGTTGATAACTCAAACTCATCCACATTAATAAAAAAAAACTCTCACTTCATCTTATTTTTGGTTTGTAATAAGACAACGCAAACCCCCAGTACCAAATAGTCAATGGGTCCAACGGCAACCCCTCGAACCACTCCATTCTAAAATGAGGAAGCCACAACGCTGGATCCACAGAAATGGAACGAGATGAAATCAGCCATTTTGATGTTTTGTCAAATGTAAAAAAATCAAAGAGGATCTGGAGAGGCCGTCGGTGATCGCTTTGCAGGTGTACCACCAAGTGGTACTCGCTTGCCTTTTCTCTCAGCTGCCCATCCACCGATCGAATGTCGTTAAAGAAACTAAAGCATGGCTGCTGCTCTTGAAATGCCCACGAGGCTTCAAAGGAATACATTGATCCCATTAACATACCAAACATTCTCCAGAAGAGCCGTTGCGTATGATTGGCGCCAATAAGACCGCAAAGGGCGCCAACCGATGCAAAGTACATTCCAATAGGGTTGAATGCACTATTCAACGTACGACAAAGAATGGCTCGCTCTCCAAGATTTGGGGCATATCTTTCCTTTTCAATTTGCCTGAGTAACTCCAAAAAGGCATGTTCCTCCAGTGCCGACATCCACCTTACTATTCGCATCAAAAACAAAAACACAACATCAAAAACAATCAATTAATAATAATAACAATAATAATAATAATAATAATAATAATAATAATAATAATGCAGAAAGAATAATAAGAAAAACATTCAAAAAGCAACCGAAATCCTTTTCATTACCAGGTATGGGTTGGGACGAAAAAACAATGTTGCAATTACCCGCCCTCGTTTCTAGTTATTGCTTTTACCTTTAAAACGGTAGTTACATATACCTTATAATATTTATTTAAAATCCTCCTCTACCGCGTCCTCGACCGCGCCCACGTCCACGTCCTCTGAAGTCACTATCACGCACACGCCTCTCCGAGTACTGTGCAACTTCAACAACACTTTCTGCGATTCCCTCCACCAAATACTGAAGTCGAGAAGTATTGCTTCGGTCAACATGAAGGTACTTGTCTTCCCTATCCCAAAAAGCTATGAGTGAGCTGTTGCTTTCCGAGATAATGTCGTTGATTATGCACTTTACTTCATTCTCATTTAACCCGTACTTTTTCATCATCAAATCCACAGATATCGTGGCAAAATTACACCGATTATTGTAACAGAAAATACGGAGAGCTGCTTCTTTTAAATGCTGCAAAAATGTTTTTAGAGCTTCGTCACCATTTGGCATCATGGACCATGCACCCATGTTTTTGATGACTTCACTGGCCTTTGCATAATCGCCCAGTTTTAGATTAATGTAGGCTGCTGTTAGTTGCTCTCTGAATTCCACTGGATCACCCAATAACGGCTGATACGCCATTTGGTTGATTATCCGGAAGAAATAGCTTTGATGACGACTACCCTCATAAGGCTTTTTGGCTTCCTTTGGCGTATCCACCACAAGAGTAGATAGCATCGTTGCAAGCTCCAACTGAGCATGCTGAATGTAAGCGTGTGGAGGCACCAGCAAATCACGAAACTTCAGCTCCTCTTCATCATTTTCTTTCACGTAATCTGGCATCCGTTGGCTAATCAAAACATCATGGTTCCGATTAGACCACAAAGAACTGAGGAGGTTGTAAGCTTGAATGACATCACCCGCTGCAAAAGAAGCCAAGCCAAGTTGCGCAATAACTCTGTTGTACAAAATGGCAAGATGAACGGACTTTTCTACGGTTTCTTCCACACCAGACCGAAGAACGAGATCTCGTCCGTCTCGATACTTTCCTTCCAATCCCATCTGATATGCGAGGTAAAGAAGGGCACTACACTTTGCCTCTTCATTTCCTATGACGAGAAGTTCTTGATAAAGCTCACGGACCGTTTCAATTACAGAGGTAGTGACAATGTTGCGAGTCAGACGAGTCATTTTGTGATAGAGAATATCATGAGCCTGTTGCCTTCTTGAGCCGAGAATTTCGATGAGAATTTGACAGCAAATTGCCTTTCCACGCTTGCGCTGCTGGTAGTAACCGAGAACAGAGTCTGCCAGGTCCACTAGTTGATTTTCCAAATGAATTATTTCAAAGTATTCATCCGTGGCACCTGTTTTAAACTGCGCGATGCGCTGTAAATGAACGTGAAGCTTTTGCAATAAACCGCACAAGCCATCCATAATCACAGCTCGTTTGCTTGTGAGATCTCCAGAAAATACTTCTTTGACTGCTATTGCCGGATTTTCAGTTATTAGTGAGTAGATTCGGCTCACAGCATCAAAAGATCTCGTCCAAGTGGCGGTGGCAACGTAGGGCAAACGTGTATCTTCTTCAAGGAGCGCTTCTGCCAGAATTCCCAGGGCGGTGATACGAAGTGCTGTAAGGCCTCTTTTCTTGCTTTCTTGGGCCAGTTTCTGGCATCTCGCGGCCCTTTTCCCCTTTTGTATTACTGATTGCTTCAGCTCCTGTGCAATATCTTCCTCAGTGAGTTCCTTTTCCTCCTCACCCTGTCCTTCATCACCACCGTCCTCTTCGCTTTCCTCGTCATGTAACCTTTCAATATCATTCTTATGGATTTCAGTCAATTCTTGGAGGGCCTTAATTAGCCTTTTCAAGCTGTAAAAATCCTCTGGCCTTTTAAATGTTTCCTTCTCATCCATTTTTTCAGATAGGTCGGGGGTGTTCCGAAGACATTCCAAAAATGGCCACGGAATCACCTTAAACTTTTCTTTATGTGCCGACGCCTTTTGTCTTAGCTGAATAAAAGCCTTTTCCGCCTCCGACCAAGATTCATGGTCGACGTTAAAATCAAAAAGGTCACAGGTGGTCTGGATTTCGTTCAGTGACTTCTCATTGCGGGATAGAACCACTTGCCTTTCATCCGCGTCCTCATCATCGGTCACCTCAAACCACTTGGGGTCAATTTGTGCCACCTTCCTTTCCACCTGCTCATCGTGATGTATGACCTCATCCAGGCTTTCATCACTGTCGCTGACATCAAAAAAGTTGCTCATTATTTAAAAACTTTTCAGTTAAAAAAATTAATAAAAAGTAATAAGAAGTTACTTAAAACTCGATAAGATAACAACAATGATAATAAGAATCTCCTGCGGGTGAAACTCACAAACATCAGGGAGGGAGAGGCAAAAAAAAGGCAAAAAAGGCAAAAAAAAAATCGTTGTACATTTAAATCAAACAATCCTCAATGAGAAAAAAAAAATCTGTTTTCTATACACAAATGTGAAGAATCTGATAACAACAAGGAATTCAGTTACAGCTCAAGATTTCGGGGCAGGACTAATGTATAAAACCGCCCCGTGAACCACAACATTCCCGCCTACATCATCCATTTTCAGAAATAATCCCTTTCGTCTGTATGTTTTTTTTTTTTTTTCCCTTGTAATTCTTGAGGCAACATATCCTGATAACTACAGCATTCAATCATGCATTGCAATTTCTCAATCTACCTTGGGCTTCTGAAGAAACTGTTGGACCCAACAAAAACAGCAGTCGTTCAAGAAAAGCACAGAGAATTCTTAGTTCAGAATCTGTTCTTTTAAGTGCAATCCAACTCTCATTTTGCATATGATACACTTCCTTTATCATTCCTTGAAGCTGCATGAGGACACCCTTCAAAAAAAAAAAATTGGGGAGCCAAGGGACAAATATACACTTATTTCAATATAATCTAAGCCTGTTTCAAATATAAGATAGAAACGGGATTCCCTTTATAATCAATGCGTCCATCAAAAAGCTTCTTGATCATTGTTGAAATTCTTTGGTTTGCAAAGAAAACAATTGTGGTATTTGGATCAACAAATACAATTTGATTTACTCCCTTTACGTGTTTCAAATTTAACTCCACCCAAAGAGATGAGGCACCCCGCAGGATCAGAGATTGTGAACGTCTATACGTCACTCGGCACCCGGGTATATCCGAAGCTGGAGCTGTAGTGATACTTACCTCTATCGCCTCACCAAAAAGCAAAAACCCGTTCATTTTTAAATATGCATCCTGAGCAGATGCAGATTCAGTATATGACACGAGAGCTTCACCACGGGGAACATCCAAAAGAATGTCATACAGCATACCATATTCACTAAAGCAACGCAGTATTGTCAATCTACAAAATTCCACACCAAAATAAAACACCAGTCCTCGAACTCGCAGTAACTCCATATATATACGTAGTTTTGGGTTTTTATTTATGCTCCGAACCCGAAGCTCCTCTAGAAACATAATTTAAGCCAAAAGAGCAGATAAAGAAAGTTGGGGACCAACAAGAACAAAGTAAAAAAAAATAAAAATAAAAATCGCAAAACACCTATCCAGAAATTCCAGACACATTTCTCACAAGAATATATATATATATATATATTACAGGTGACAATATCAAAAATAAGCCAAAGAAAAGGTAAATCTAATGCAAAGACGTCCAAATAAGCGACTTGATATTTAACTTTCCTCTCCTTTTTGCAAAAGCCATCGTGCCTGAAGGAAGATGGAGTAAAGGACCATGCTTGTTCACAAAAAAAACTGCGTTAAGCCGATGAAGCGCCACAGCAACATCTTCTATTGCCATTCCACTTTCCCACGAAAGCAAATTCATTGTCAGTGGAAGTCCTTTCTCATTGAGAGAAAATATTGCTTGAAGAATTTCCTCCCGCCAGATTCGACTAAACACCTTTTTTCCTGCCGCACTCAATGGTCTCTCGGGGGAGCCTGGAATTCCCTCTATCCTTCCCATCTCGTAGGAAATTTCAATTAGAAAAGCTCCATACCCCTTATTGCGGTATGGCGGAAGTACCATTACACAGGAAAGTGAATTATTGCAAGCCATACTTTTTCTCCACTCCTTACTAAAATACCCAACAAAATGATAACCATAGTCATCAACCTCAAATAATACAACCATGGCAAAAAAGTGCAAATCATCCAAGGTAGTTTTTTCTTCAAGAAAATGCTTGGCAAGTCTAGCAATGCGCCGGGTATATGGAACAGATGCCATTTTTCGTCCATCAATTTCAAAGACGACAAATCGCCTCCTACGACAACGGTAAATCTCATCCCCTGGAACCCAAAATCGATATGGACACACCTCCATATGCTCTCTCAATTCTCGTGCTGATGATAACCAAGAAAGACACGCTTCACACATAAAGACATCAGTAAAATCCTCTTTGCCCACAAATCCGCAATGCACATATTCCACCATATACTCCCGAAAAAGAGTCTTTATCGTAAAACCGTCCAACCTTTTGCGTTTCATGAACCTTTTTTTTTTTTTTTTTTTTTTTTTTTTTAGGAGGAAGAAAACTGAAGTTTTACAATAAATACGAGAAAAAGAATCCAGTTTCAATAATAATAATAATAATAAATGTTAAAAATAAAATATTACAGTTCTCCACAGCAATCAACAAAATTTTTAAACATCAATTTTCCTTCAAATGCATAAAACTTCCTAAACCGTAAAAAAAATAATAAAAATAAAAATACTACAAAAATCCCATCAACTCCCTTTTTGAAACCCTTTCCTACTTCCCTAGTGGTGCCCTAGATCCACGGCGCCCGGGGCTGGTCTGAGAGTTGGAGGACCAGCTGCATACCCTTCACCAATATCAAAGGCGAAGTCCCACGGTTTTCGGTCCTGTTTGCGCCATCCATAGTCAAGATGACTTGGCCCGCCGCCAGCAATATCGTCCAGTTTTGCCCAAAATCCATCGTACATAATAGCACCAATGATTAAAAACGGTCCACTGACACAAAGAGCCATCCAATAGTTTTGGCCCGATTTGTGGTAAACCTCACTCGTCCAAAATCCAACTCCCCGAAGGCCAAAATTTGGACGAGCCTTGGCCTTCGCATTGAAGGCATTTAAGTATGTTCGCCTAGTGGTAACCAAGGCAGAGCGGAACATCTTTCAGAGAATTCACTTCTGTTCAATGCCTTTACTAATAATAATAATAATAATCGATATAAAATGTTGGATACACACGCACAGAGAGAGAGAGAGAGAAAAGAGAGCAAAAAAAAAAAAAAAAATAAAAAAACCAAAGGAAAAAAGAGTTGTTCAAAAGTAGAAAAACAAAACAAATAAATAAGTCAAATTCAACTGAAAAAGACAAAATGTTAAAAAAAAAAAAAAAAAAAAACCACCTTTTCATGGGGGGAAAAAAGTACTATGAAAAGAAGAGATTAAAATAAATTGAAATAAAAAATCTAATTCAAACAAAACGGTTTCTATATGTGACGTGTGAGCGCTACCAAAGAAATTTTTTTCTAGCACGTGAGCAAGGGTGCTCCAGGTCAAAAGTAAATGGGAAAAAGGTTTAAAAAGCTGTTTCCCTTCTATTCACAGGTTTCGTATCTAATCCCAAAAATCTTGTTCTAAAATTCCTCATATTTGCTTTGTCCCCATATCACCCTTTTTTCTCTATTTCATTACTCTTGCTTTAGTCTTGTATCCGCACTTTTTCCATCCAAATACGGCAACCAAACTCCCTGTAAAGCTCCTTCAAAAGTTGTACAAAGTCAATCCGTGACTTCGCGGAATAATAGAATGTGAGCTTCTTTTTATCAAATTGGTACTCGGCGTGAAGTATCTCCATATCAAAACCGTGACGCTGGACACGCTGTTGACAAAAAGAAACAGCAATAGCCTCATCCTCCTTGAGATCAGTAGCCCAGTAATCTACCTCTCGCTGTGTTGCATGACGGAGAATACTTCCAGTTGGTCCGGAACGTTCCACATATGTCTTACAACCTTCAGTATTCAAACGGATAACAACCCCAATATCGATTCCTCTGTCACCTTGAACCACAACATATTGACCCTTGGCGGCAAGAAAAGGAGAAGAAAACTCCTTTTGATGACATTTAAATTGAACAAGTACGTTACAAACAGGAGGCATGGTAGGGGTTGGTGGAGCCTCATCCTTTTCTGCAAAAAGCTCTTGTTTAGCAGGAATCTTTATCAAGCTCGCTCCCTCTGAAAAAAATGCTGTACATGAAGTTACCAAAGAATCTTCAAGACACCTCCAACCGTAAGGATTATGGCGTTTGATCGCAACCTTTTTTGAAATAATAGTGGAATTGTTCTTTACATATTTACCAGAAAGCGCTGTTTGAACATTGGTGATATCTGAAAGAGGCGAAAACATCTTAATTTAAGCACCTTTCTTTTTGAGGATGAGCGCACAAAAACAAACAAACAAAAAAAAGGAATGAAAGAAATTAAAGTAACACTTCATAAATAACGATAAATAATCAGCAACAAAAAAGCAATAGTAATAATAATAATAATAATAATAATAATAATAAATAATAACAAAGTTAAACAATACGGAGGAGAAACAGTATAGAATATAAAAAATCACAGAAAAAAAATAACTGAGCATTGATTTTGTTACTTAAAAATATTACATTCCTCTAAATTTTTATATAAATTTACTTGGTTTTAATACCAATATTTATGAAACAAACACATACACAGAAAAAAAAAAAAAAAAAAGGAAAAATGACACAATTATCCAAAAAAAAGTTTTAGTGTCTATTGGAATAACAAATAACAATAACAAGCAAAATTAAGTTTAAAAAATTATATTCCTCCAAATACACTTTTTCTCCCAATAAACAAAATATATCTAACAATAAATGAAAAAATAGCTGGAAAGCAAATTCAATAAACTCGGTTCCATTCAAAATCACTAAATAGCCAAGAAAAAACCACAATAAATATGTTTTCTAACCCTAAAATAACCCATCGCAAATCTAATATATATAGAAAAAAAAAAAAAAAAACATTAAAGCACAATAAATAATAATAATAATAATAATAATAACAATTATTGCCCATCACGCTCAATGTACGAATTGAAATGGTCATCACACCCCTTGAAGTTACAAGGGGATTCTTTGGCTAAAATCGCCGCCGCTCGCGTTCGGCCCGTTTTTCTCGCGCGGCTCCGCCGGGGCGTTTGCGTTGCGGCTTTTTCCGCCAATTCCCATTGCTTTTTGCGGCGTTTCCTGTGGCTGTTTTTTTTTTTTTTTTTTTTTTTTTGTAATATTTCTTCTATTACTCGTTCGAAGGGCGACATGCATGGAACATCTTTTTTTTGTGGCGCTCCAGTATATCACCCGCGTCGCGAGCTTTGCTGTTACTTTTTGATGTTAACACTTTCGCACACAAAGCACCTGCGTGAAGGCCACCGCATGTTTAAACCAAGTACCGAATGAAGTGCCAGAGGGGCGTCATCCGATTCTCCGCAGAATGAGAATGCTTCGAAATGACAATAACACTGCTTCTTGTGCGCGGAAAAAACATTTTGGCGAGGCAGGGGCAATTGTTGGCACGTTTTTTTTTTCTATAATGCGTTGTCATCCTTTTCTTTTTTTTCTTTGTGAGAAAAACCCTTTTCATTTTTATACTTTGGCAATTCACAGTAAATTCAAACAGTATTAAAAGAATCGAAAGATAAGCATAACAAACATGGCACGCCAACTCAGAAACTCGTTTCTTATTCCCCAACGCTGAAAAATATGTGGTGTACTCAACAATGCATTTGGTATCTCACGCCTTCCAGTGGAATCAAAAAAGGAATAGAAAATACAAATAGACTACTGAGAGAAAAAAAAACTTCTGGTGTATAATCCAATTCGCTCATTCTATTGCTCAATTATGAATTTTTCTATTCCTTAACGCCATATAGCGTTTTTCCGATGGGCATATAAATTCTTTATAATACGCGGAACCAACCACTTTTTTATGTATTTCTTTTGACAGAAACTTTAAATGAGTTAATGACAGCCGATTTTGCCGCTATGTTATGCTATAAATTACTTTTTGACTTAACAATTTCATTTTTGGACACAATACATATGCGAATGACACTGTGGAGTATTTAAATGATGCTGACACACCATTCCCATGAATATCAGGCTAGCGTTTTGCACGATAGAGAGGCGTAACGGCTTTTATATAGGAGAAAAGCTTCTCAGATGCTAAAGTTTTTTCCAGGACCTTTTTAATCTTTTAATTTTTTAATTTTTTAGGAAAAGCACTGTCAATAACGGACAAAGATGACCGCCGAACAAATAAATACTGCACTGAGGGTTAATAAAGCGAAAGAACAATACACCGATGCCTGTCCAAAGAAATTATTCCTGCTTTCCCATTTTTGAATTTTTTTTGTGAAGGGAAGGCCGCCGTGTTTTCCTTATTTTTCTTTTTTTTGTTCTTG